GCCCAAACTACTCCTGAAAACAAGCGTTGCGAGGTTGCAATTGCCCATAGGCCTCGTGGAGTTCCGGGTCAGAAATGCTCTTCAGCAACCCATGCTTGCAGTAAGAGGCGTCTATGCTTGTCGTAAGAGGCGATTGATGGGATCAGGTGGTCAGGCTCACTGACTTAGTTGATGCATGTCATATCCCAATTGCGTACACCGATGCTAATATGTCAATCACTGGATTGTCTGGTCTAGACTTAATTATTTACAGACGCCGTCATACAGCGGGGTGCGGCGTTAAACAAAAATCTTCAAGAAGTCCTCCCATATTAAGCTGACACGCCGTGACACTAGAGACATACCATTCAAAGCCACGCAAAACCAACTGTCAGTCAAATACTCTGAACACGTTGATCTGGAACGAGCAGTCTATAACTTAAAACGAACGAAGGAATTAATTAAAAATTGTTCCAAGATGGGATTGCACTTCAGCTTCACATTTTTGCACAGAAACTCGCACGACGTTGTTGGACACAATGCATAGATGATAGGTGTGTGTTTCCTGATTAACATATGCAAACTTTGTCGAGTTGTTGCCTGTTTGTTAACAATCACAATCTAGGAAATATCATACCACCCTGATCAAATGCATGTGGTGTAACTTCCTGCTGTGTAATTTGTAACATATGTGGGTCTAATTAAGTGTATGTCGATATCGAGATGGTATAGGGGCGCATATCAGGATTTGTCATTCCGTTGCCGATACTGATCGTGTGAGCGAAGCATAGGCACACGTTACTGCAATGCTAATTGGCTTTGTTTAGTTTGATTCTCAAAAGGCTCAATGTCGTCATTTCGAATGTTCTTTCAATTTTAATTCGAATTTCGGCCGAAAAACATGAAAATGTCCTCTTCGGCTTATCAAATACAGGTAGGTAGGTCGGGCTGTTTTGTTTTTGTCTTTGAAAAACGATTGTTTGCAGTTATGAAAGAGTGTGCTGTCATGATGTCAATCATTGAAGTGTTTGCTCAAGGTTCAGTTTTTTTCAGACCGCCGTAATACAGGTGGAATATTGCTTAGTGCGGCTTTAAACAAACCAACAAACAAACAAACAAACAAACAAACAAACAAACGCCTGCATTCAGTTGAAGGTCATGACTGGGTTTTCTGATGTGAAGCCACAACCGATAAATAAAGGCTATGGTCTAAACAAAGGGGTTGTTTTGGGGGCCCTTTTCAGACTTACCTCGTACTCGTGTGTATACAATATTGTAAAAATTGAAATACAAACTGACACAGAATGAAAACGAATAATCAACTTTAAGTCGAAATCGGTTATTTTGTTTTGTTTTTTGTTGTTGTTGCTTTGTTGTTTAACGCCGCACTCAGTAGTATTCCAGCTATAAGATGGCGACTAACGGGATCGGTTGGTCAGGCTCGCTGACTTGCTTGATGCATTTCATCGTATCCCAATTGCGTGGATCGATGCTCTTGATGTCAATAACTGGATTGTCTGGTTTTGATTCGATTAATTAAAGACCGACGTCATACAGCTGGAATACTGCTGAGTGCGGCGTTAAACAACAAACAAACAAATTATCTAGTGAAACTATGCACTACCTATTTTATTTTCAGATAAAAAGAACCCGTAGCAACTTTCATAATATTTCTTAATATTTCGAAAACCTTGTTTCGCGCACTGACATCGAGGTGAAACGAGAATCCATATGTACTCGGTCAAGCGGAAATATATCCGTGCATGTTGTGTCACGTGTTTGTTTAAGTCCACACTGTGAGCAAAGATTGTATTGGTATCGCATTCGTCTCATTTCATGGCCTACCTTGAACCATGTACATTTCAAATGACTTGCTTTTGTGGCGAAACCGACAACACCACGGGGGGTCATATACACCGAAGCCCCCCTCCACAAGGTGTTGCGTAAGCATACCTCCCCACATCAATAATAATAAGGTACGGTTACCTATGCTGCGTCGTATAATGTTGTTGCCGAACTTGACACCCCTGCGAGCAACACGTGCAACTGACAAGCAATTGACACGCAAACGCATCTGTGACTTCCACGAGGCGCCTGAAATGTACATCTCCACGTGTGCATCCGGAAAGAACCGATTTTATAATGCATTCTTTGGCAAACGCTCTGATCGAACAGGCATTATTTCCTGGTGTGACCCAACCAAATACATGTGAGCAAACACCTGACTCTGATTCTAAATTTTATCCATACCAAAACGTTCATTTGATATACTCAGCATTTTTTCGTGCTCAACCATGCAATAATTAAAAAATAGAATATGATCCTGGTTCCCATTCCGATCTCCACCCGGCCACAAAGAAGTTCACGAGCAGCGGTTTGTATGTTTTAAAACGTTTGGCACACCTGCTGCGATATCATAATTTGCACTTGAAGCTCATTCAGTTGTAACGGTAATCCATTGTATTTACTGCTACCAATTACTGTGTGCAACATGTTGGATGTAGATTACGTTATTCCAGGATGTTGTTTGCAAAGAATGGTGTGCATTTCAAACATATCAGAAATGAACATGATGTTACCTGTGTTAAAACCCCGCTGATGGCTCCTTTGTTCGTTGCGTAAACTCGACAGGTGTTGTGTTTGATTCGTCTGAAATTGTAATTACTGTAAATATTTATTTTAATTTATTCGTCAATTTTTTTATTTCCTTTGTGATTTATGTCGTCAGTTTATAAGCCGTTGAAATGTACCTCTCTCTAAGAGGAGGGAAATACAGTCTTCACAACAACAGTAAAAATCAAATCACTTTGACAGCTCTTAGAAAGATATAACCGCTTGTATCTATTATAAATTGGCGTTACACCTATTGCCTCGCTACATTGACTGACTACATTCATCAATAAATGATGAATTAAGTTGATTCTTAAACTCGTTGGATTTATTATCCCAGTTGGAAAAAAACAACTAACTGTATTGACATATGGTAGACTAACATTTAGTCTCTGAAATCTTATATTACACAATATCCTTCTTGACTCTAAAAATTTAAAAAATCCCTATGCTGATTTCAGAGCTAGCTTGAGATGGCTAGACTTGCTTTTGTGTGCATTTCTAGATTATTTTTTTTTCATAAAATAAATATATTCCACGGTCATGGTGCAGGACTAACATGTGGTGTCGTTGCGTGTTATGTCCAAAGATCAATAGCCACAGTCGAGTGAGTGAGTATGGTTTTACGCCGCCTTTAGCAATATTCCAGCAATATCACGACTGGGGACAATAGAAATGGGCTTCACACATTGTAGGAAGGTGGGGAATCGAACCCGGGTCTTCGTAATAACGATGGAACGCTTTAGCCACAAGGCTACCGCACCGCCCCTCACAGTCCAGTGTTCAAATGAGTTATATGTCGGTAGTGTTAGCAGTCAAGATTAAACAAACGCATACTAAACTCACGCTTTCGTGCTTGAGTGTGAAAGATACACCAAACAACGTTGTCCAAAATATAATATACACATGAGCATTAATTAAGAAACTAATTCAAAATCAATTCCGAAAAATAATGATAAACCCTCATCAAACCCAAGTGACACCTTTGGGATTACTTTGGGTAAGTGAGAAGGAGAGACACTCCGATTAAAAACTTGAATGAACAGACCCAGGCACTTCACCAGGAATGGCTGAGGATCAATGTTGAAAATCAGATGTCTGATGAGCAGCATGAAGAGACGCCTCGCGAATGTCATCCGTGAAAGGGGGCGGTCGGGTAGCCTAGTGGTTAAAGCGTTCACTCGTCACGCCAAAGACCCGGGTTCGATTCCCGACATTGGTACAATGTGTGAAGCCCATTTCTGGTGTCCCCCGCCGTGATATTGCTGGAATATTGCTAAAAGCGGCGTAAAACCATACTCACTCACTCACTCACTCATCCGTGAAAGGGGTGGATACTCCGGATACTGATTGCCGAGTCCGTGGTTATTCCTAGGTTGACAATCGTTTCTCTTCACAATGTGACAGTCTTATTCGTGCTGTGGACTGGGTGCTGATACTTTTCAGCGTTGTTGAAATGAACGTTTTTAGATTTCTTCGCATGACGCCAATAAATCGGCACCGATTGCTAATGTCAGCTTTATTATGTGTGTGATGGTAGTGGCAGGTGTTCTATTTGTCTGTTTACTTCCCTTTTTTCCCGAGTGGTTATAAAGTGTTCGCTCGTCGCACCAAATGCCCGGGTTGGATTCCCAACATTGGTACAACGTGTGAAGTCCATTGCTGGCGTCCCCCGCCGTGAAACCCATTGCTGGTGTCCCCCGCCGTAGTGACCCGTGAAGATCCGGGTTAGAATAGGTCTTCAGCAAACCATGCTTGCCGTAAAAGGCGACCATGCTTGTCGTAAGAGGCGACTTACGGGATCGGGTGGTCAGGCTCGCTGACCTGATTGATGCGTGTCATCGTATCCCAACTGCGTGGATCGATGCTCATGATATCAATCACTGGATTGTCTGGTCCAGACCGCCGTCATATAGCTGGAATATTGCTGAGTGCGGCGTAAAACAACAAACCAACCAACCCCTGCCGTAGTAATGCTGAACTATTGCTAAAAGCGGCGTAAAACCACACTCATTCACAAACACACTAAAACGCTTTTGTTTGTTGTTGAAATGTCAGAGTCACGTTAACCTTATTTGGAATCCCCTCTTCACATATAATCAGAAGGATGCCAGTGACGCCCTAGCTTGGGGCTGTTGTGTTAATATGCCAAGAATGTGTTAAAACATATTTACTTCAGATTATTGTAGGTTTGTTTTTTTGTTTATAACGCCACACCCAGCAATAGTCCAGCTATATGACCACGGTCTGTAAATAATGGAGTCTGGACAGGACAATCTAGTGATTGACATCATGAGCATCGATCTACGTAATTGGGATACGATGACATGCACTCAGCGAGCCTGTCCGACCGATCCCGTCAGTCACCTCTTACGACAAGCATAGGTTGCTGAAGACCAATCCTAACCCGGATCTTGAGTGAGTCACTGATTGAGTGAGTTGAGTTGAGTTGAGTTGAGTTCAGGTGAGTATTGCCTTTACCCACATCGGTAATCTTGCTGCTAGTTGCGACGATTTTAATCTTCAGTATGAAGCTCAGCGTCCCACACCTCGTCCTGAAACAAACGTATGTCCATTTTCAATACCCAAAATAGATTTACTTTGTGTGAATATGAACAGAATTATTTTAATGTTACAACAAAATGATGATCTATGTTCAATGCTATTTAATTATAAAACACTGACCTTCTGACATTTCGTTTTGTAAGGTCAGAAAATGTTGCACGAGACAAAACAGAAGAAATCAAGGAATTATAAAGTGTGGTATAATATTTTTATTATCAGTGTGTGTAGAGGCCTGGGTGGTTGTAATGTTTGCATTTGAAGGGGGTTGGTGTTTTGACGTGTCAAAACTAAAAAAAAACTTGGTTTCTAAGTCATCGGACCTCAAATTAGAAACCATATCCCGTTGATATTGTACGTTGAGGGGCGCGGGTGGCCATGTCGTCTGAGGCGCCGCGATTCGCTGTGCAGAGTTGCGTCCCTTGGGCACGCCAGAAACCTATGATTGTGGGTTCGAATCCGGTTCGCCCCGATTATGTTTCTAGGTTTGTCAGCAACATATCCGTGCTCGTGGGTTTCACCGAAGTGGTAAACGCCTGAGACCTGCACCACTTCGGGATTTCCTCCCACATTAAGCCGACACGCCGCGATATAACTTGAATAATGTTAAAAGCGGCGTACGTTAAACCCAACTCACTCACTGATATTGTACGTATCTTAGCGAGTGTGCAGGTTGGTTATACGCCGCATTCGATATTTAGTATAATGTCGGGACACAAACGGACTTTGCCCATTGCACTTATTACAGTATATGAACTTAGAAATGAGTTTGTAAACAAACATGTCTTCGGTTCATTTTATAAACAAACGCTATCATCGGCACTATTTTCCAATGCGATCTTTGCTCGTGGAGAACAGACTCACTATTATCATAACCACCCAGTGCCATCGTTTCCATAGCGTCACAATGTCGCGTATCGTGGCCGGCTGTTTAACACCGCTGTGACAATTTCCAAGGGTAATAAGTGCAGTGGTTTTAACTTGCAATTGACATTCAAACTTTGCAATTGACAGGGCTTGCCAACACAGGCATAAATCATGTGACGATGGTATCATTAATGATTGATATGATCATAAATTGCCCTTTTGCTCGCTGGAGCCTAATCGAGGAAAATGGGTTCAACGGTCGTATTCCGTCTCTATCTGTCTGCAATCTGTTGGTTGTCTGTTTTAGTGTCTGGAAAGCTCGAGTTTGTCTGAGAGTATGTTTGACATAAATGGTGTAATATAAGGGTGTAATATATGGGTGGGATAGGTGCTGTGTTATTTGTATCCGATGCGTTTTAGCTTGAGTGAATGGGTTTCATGTTTTGCCACTTTAAACAGTTATATCACGACACGTCAGCTTGTTGTGGGAGCGGTCGGGTAGCCTAGTGGTTAAAGCGTTAGCTCGTCACGTCGAAGACCCGGGCTCGATTCCCGACATGGGTACAATGTGTGAAGCCTATTTCTGGTGTCCCCCGCCATGATATTGCTGGAATATTGCTAAAAGCGGCGTATAACCATACTCACTCACTCGCTCAGCTTGTTGTGGAAGCAAAGCCCATACTGGTGCAAGCATTTACCACTTTGGTGAAACTCACGAGCACAGGGTGGATGGTGGGGTAGTCTAGTGGTTAAAGCGTTAGCTCGTCACGCCGAAGACCCGGGCTCGATTCCCCACATGGGCACAATGTGGGAAGCCCATTTTCCGGTGTCCTCCGCCGTGATATTGCTGGAATATTGCTAAAAGCGGCGAAAAACCATACTCACTCACTCACGAGCACGGGTATGGTGCTGACAAACCAGGTGAGATATCCAGCGTGAATCTTGGATTCGAACCTGCGTTAATAGTTTTCTGGCATTTGGTGTCTTAGAGACGCTAGTCTGCAGAGTCGGTCGTACACGCCATCGCTTATGATCAGATATCTGTGAACAGCGGATCCTGGGAGGACAAAGGGACGTAATTCTTCGAAGCGATTTGCGGCGCTTTTGACAACTGGGCCGCCTATCAGTTTTTCAACCATGTTTGTTTCATAAGATCCTTTCATCCATCCATATTTATCCATGGAAACACATCGTATCCCAAAAGCAGCGACCTATGCTAATGGTGTCACTCACTGGATTGTCTGGCCCAGACTTTTATTTTAATACCACCGTCATATCGCTAGAAGTGCGAGCCGAGTCGTGAAGTTATTGGATTTTACCCTCGTTTAAAACTGTATCTGCCCAGTTTCAAATACACATTTCTAGTTCTCGGTCGAGTCAGCAACACACTACCAAAGCTCGTGGTGACACTGATTGTAATCTGCAACGATAAAGCAGCTCGATAGCAGTGGAGATAGACTGGCTTAGTGCTAATGGGGTCTCTATGTAGTTGAGTGGTATGTTGTGTCTTTAACGTGTGCTGCTAAAAATACCAAGAAGCTGTATATAATTGCGTGAGTAATAGCTGTGTGATGTCTGTTGTGTGTCTTTGCGTGAATGATACCAACAGGGCATCTGTTGTGAGTCTTTGCGTGTGTGATACCCGCATGCCATATGTTGTGTGTCTTTGCGTGAGTGATACCAGCATGGCATATTTTGTGAGTCTTTGCGTGAGTGATACCAGCATGGCATATGTTGTGAGTCTTTGCGTGAGTGATACCCGCATGCCATATGTTGTGTGTCTTTGTGTGAGTGATACCAGCATGGCATCTGGTGTGTGTCTTTGTGTGAGTGATACCAGCATGACATCTGTTGTGTAACTTTGCGTGATTGATACCAGCATGACATCTGTTGTGTGTCTTTGCGTGAGTGATACCAGTATGGCATCTGTTGTGTGTCTTTGTGTGAGTGATACCAACAGGGCATCTGTTGTGTGTCTTTGTGTGAGTGATACCAGCATGACATCTGTTGTGTGTCTTTGTGTGAGTGATACCAGCATGGCATCTGTTGTGTGTCTTTGTGTGAGTGATACCAGCATGTCATCTGTTGTGTAACTTTGCGTGAGTGATACGAGCATGACATCTGTTGTGTAACTTTGCGTGAGTGATACCAGCATGACATCTGTTGTGTATCTTTGCGTGAGTGATACCAACATGACATCTGTTGTGTATCTTTGCGTGAGTTATGCCAGCATGGCATCTGTTGTGTGTCTTTGTGTGAGTGATACCAACATGGCATCTGTTGTGTGTCTTTGCGTGAGTGACACCAGCATGACATATGGTGTGTGTCTTTGCGTGAGTGACACCAACTTTACATCTGTTGTGAGTCTTTGCGTGAGTGACACCAACATGACATCTGTTGTGTGTCTTTGCGTGAGTGACACCAACATGACATCAGTTGTATGTCTTTGCGTGGGTGATACCAGCATGGCATGTGTTATGTGTCTTTGCGTGAGTGACACCAACATGATATCATGATATATGTTGTGTATCTTTGCGTGACATCAGTTGTATGTCTTTGCGTGAGTGACACCAACATGACATCTGTTGTGTATCTTAGCGTGAGTGATACCAGCATGGCATCTGTTGTGTGTCTTTGTGTGAGTGATACCAACATGACATCTGTTGTATGTCTTTGCGTGAGTGACACCAGCATGGCATCTGTTGTGTGTCTTTGTGTGAGTGATACCAGCATGACATCTGTTGTGTGTCTTTCTGTGAGTGATACCAGCATGGCATCTGTTGTGTGTCTTTGTGTTAGTGATACCAACATGACATATGTTGTGTGTCTTTGTGTGAGTGATACCAGCATGTCATCTGTTGTGTGTCTTTGTGTGAGTGATACCAACATGACATCTGTTGTGTGTCTTTGTGTGAGTGATACCAGCATGGCATCTGTTGTGTGTCTTTGTGTGAGTGATACCAGCATGGCATCTGTTGTGTGTCTTTGCGTGAATGATACCAGCATGGCATCTGTTGTGTATCTTTGTGTGAGTGATAACAGTATGACATATGTTGTGTGTCTTTGTGTGAGTGATACCAGCATGGCATCTGTTGTGTGTCTTAGTGTGAGTGATACCAGCATGACATCTGTTGTGTGTCTTTGTGTGAGTGACACCAACATGATATGATATCTGTCGTGTATCTTAGCGTGAGTGATACCAGCATGACATCTGTTGTGTGTCTTTGTGAGTGACACCAAGATGATATGATATCTGTTGAGTATCTTTGCGTGAGTGATACCAGCATGACATCTGTTGTGTGTCTTTGTGTGAGTGATACCAGCATGGCATCTGTTGTGTGTCTTTGTGTGAGTGATACCAACATGATATCATGATATCTGTTGTGTGTCTTTGCTTGACATCTGTTGTATGTCTTTGCGTGAGTGATACCAGCATGGCATGTGTTATGTGTCTTTGCGTGAGTGACACCAACATGATATCATGATATATGTTGTGTATCTTTGCGTGACATCAGTTGTATGTCTTTGCGTGAGTGACACCAACATGACATCTGTTGTGTATCTTAGCGTGAGTGATACCCGCATTACATCTGTTGTGTATCTTTGCGTGAGTGATACCAGCATGACATCTGTTGTGTGTCTTTGTGTGAGTGATACCAGCATGGCATCTGTTGTGTGTCTTTGTGTGAGTGATACCAGCATGATATCTGTTGTGTGTCTTTGTGTGAGTGATACCAGCATGGCATCTGTTGTTGGCTTTGTGTGAGTGATACCAACGTGATATCTGTTGTCTGTCTTTGCGTGAGTGACACCAACATGATATCATGATATCTGTTGTGTGTCTTTGCTTGACATCTGTTGTATGTCTTTGCGTGAGTGATACCAGCATGGCATGTGTTATGTGTCTTTGCGTGAGTGACACCAACATGATATCATGATATATGTTGTGTATCTTTGCGTGACATCAGTTGTGTGTGACCAAGATGATATGATATCTGTTGTGTATCTTTGCGTGAGTGATACCAGCATGACATCTGTTGTGTGTCTTTGTGTGAGTGATACCAGCATGGCATCTGTTGTGTGTCTTTGTGTGAGTGATACCAGCATGATATCTGTTGTGTGTCTT